AGTGTTAATTAGAGTCAGTGAGCAGAGGAATATCCTACACGAAATAAGAAAACGGAAGGCTAATTGGATTGGTCATGTTTTACGCAGAAACTGCCTTCTAAAAGAAGTTATCGAAGGAAAGATAGAGGGGCGGATAGAAGTGACAAGAAGACGTAAGAAGATGCTGGATGACCTTGGGGACAGAAGAAGATACTGTCATTTGAAGGAGAAAGCTCTAGATCGCATTAAGTGGAGGAATTGTTTTGGAAGAGGCTGTGGACCTGTCATCTTGACAGATTACTGATGATGATGAGCGTGGGGGGGGGGAGTCCAACTGGGTCCACTCGGCACGGCGGCCACTGATTGGCCTATTGTAGCCTGCCCTGGGTGATTATGATGATGGAGAATTTGGTGGAATGAACATTTGCAGGGGAAACCGAAGTACTCGAGGAAATCCGCCCCAGCGCCACTTTGTCCACAACAAATCTCACTTGACCATACACGGGATCGAACCCGGGCCGCCACGGTGGGATTCCAGCGACTAACCGTTTGAGCTATCGCGCGGCCTACCTACATACCTACCTACCACTCGGCGCTACAGCCCTGGGTGAGCCTTGGCCTCCTCTACAACCAGTCTCCACAACCAATGCGTGCTTCCATAGGAATGTCCCCATGCATGATGACCCGAGGCTGGTTGTTAGGTTCCTGAACAAAATCCTTTTTACAGGATCAGGTTGTTAGCCTCATGCCCAACCCCCAACCTGGAAGACCAGGGTATCTCTTAGTCTGGACTCTACCCTTTGAGCTTTCGGCATGGGTGACCCCACTGGTAGTTAAAACTACCGCTGGCATAGCTCTCCAGGTCACACAGTCACGCAAGCCCTACCACCATGACAAGGTGAAGACACCTTTCGCAGGACTTTGAACCCTTACCTATTTCAAACGCGTAGGTAGACTCTCGCTCATAAGTAGTAATGCCTCCGTAAAATTATCTAATGGGTTATGCAGAAATTACTATTCATATTGTCACAATTTAGGGGTGACTATAGAAGGGGTTTAGATTGATGAATCGAATTATTGACCATTTATACACTCACAACTCGGAATTACAAGCAATGACAGCGCTATCGCTGATCTACGCACTTCATAAATCACTCCAGCACATGCTGAAGGAGTTCAGTTGAGGGTTGGCAGCTGATCTGAGCTCTGCAAGGGAGGTTGAGACGAGACGGCGATCTGGTTCAGCTGAGAGTTGAAAGTCCGGCTATGAAGAAAAGATTTCAATCGCGGGTTTTCGCCGGACAGTATCGACGTGAGAGCGGAAAGCTGTAGAATCTCCTCTCTTAGACTCCGTTGCTAGGGAAAGGCTGCTGAACCACAGCGGACTGGAAAAAGGCTGCTCTGATCCGTGAATTGTGGAGGTGGCGCTTTCACTCTTAAGCACCAAACGCCCTTTACCTCCAGAATGCTTCCTGGCACTCATTTCTGTTAGAGGCTGAGTCGACCCCAGGCGTATAATGCAGCTGGAGGGATGAGGGAAATGTTCTCAACACTAAATCTGACTTAAAAAGGGCGTCCTTATTCTAGGTGCAGCCACATGTCATGCCGTGATAACATGTTGCCTTCTCAGGTATCATGCCCTCCACAGGTAGTGGCAAATCTGTCTTCCACTTTTATCGTATACAAATCAGAAATGGATGGACTTAGCTTCCAATTCAAGTCTCCAAGACAGCGTCTGAGATGTGGCAGAAAATATAAAACTGTATTAATATTTTAAAATAAATTACATTTCTGACATGTTATTTGCACATTTGACTTGAGTCCAGCATCTGCCTGATAAGAGCTTCACGCAGCAAGTCACGGGAACCTAAATTTGTTGTACATCATGCAATGATTCCAGTCCCTAAGTCCAGGAATCAGCTGTCAGTACTTCTGTTGCAGCTGCTGTCACTGCGAGAAGGAAAACGACCTGGCGAACTTGATGTGGATTCAAATACACGACCTTTACTGTGCCCCCTGGACCCACCCCCACCACTCATTTCAGATGCTGAGAAAGGTGAGTGTCTCAGCTCATCTTCATACACAATGCATTTTGCATTTCAAATGATACAACCAAGTAAGGGCAATATACGAGTAAATTGGAGGACATACAGGAAGATAGGGTCTTGATTGTATGTCATTGCATCACAATGTGGACACATAACAAGCCTTTCTCCTGAACAATTGAACTGCCAAACTATAATCAATATATTTTAATCACATAACTGCTCAGTAATTCTATTAATGCTTATTCTTTCTGTGTTTCACACCATTTGTTTTTCATTTTGTTTTTTTATGAAGTAATGGGGACAAGCCACTGTTCTTAAAAATCTGATAAGTTATCTCTGAGGATTATTTATATGATTTTCAGTTTCCAAGCTTGTAGAATAGTTACATTGTTTCATTCTACTCCATTTACTATATCTATGTCACAAAATGTGTCTGATACACCAATCAGAGGTAAAATGTATTGAAGAGTTGAAACTTACTTCAGTTTCATAAGAACAGAAAATTTAATAACTTACATATCACATTGCTTCCTTAATATTGTCATTTAATATGAAATAGGAGATTGGAGAAAATTATATGTATAATGAGAATCTTCACAAAGGAAAAGACTTTAGGTAATATTAATAAATCTGGCAAAAAAAAAAGACTGGAGGGTACACCATACTTGCAATGATTTATGTTTGTAAACAACAGATAATGATTTTAACTTCTGAAAAACCGAACATCCAGTGACTGACATTGTATTTTGTTGCAGGTTTCTCATGCTCCTGTCCACCATTTGAGTGCATCTGCAGCAGGTCCCCAACGACTCAATCCCAGCTGCATCATGCAACACAGTACCAGCACTCTCATCTGGACACTTCCTGCTGGCTGCAGGAACACCTCCAGATAAACACTTTCCCTTACCATCAAGACGACTCCTCCACAGCTACCAACAGCTACTATGAGGATGGGAACACAGGCACAAATGTGGGTCCTCAGCAATATGACTTTCTGCCACTAGGAGGTGAGCTGTTCCAGCCTGAGGAGATATTTCAGTTGGACCAGCCCCTTAAGTCACAAGACTATGCTCCCATCCTGCATCAGGATCACAACCAGAACTCTGACATCACCAGGTCACCTCCAATGCTGCTCGACCTGGGCAGCGGAATCATCCACCGCAGTCCAGTTAAGCCTGAACCAGAGCCAGCATACTGGATGCTGCCCCCCTCGATAATCACCACAGATGAGAGCAACAGCAGCTCCAGCAGGTTCCCCACCTGTTCCCCTGACACAAGCACCAACATAGTCACAAATCCCATGGAGGACATGACCAGGGGCATAGGTTTCATGTCACAGTGTGACCCCGTGCTGCCACTCCAGAGTGGGACCCCACATGATGATGCCATGAAGATCCAATGTGCCACTGCATCCAAAGAGACATCGGGCCTGCTCCCATATGGGATGGAGAGTGATAGGCTCAAAATGCAAGTACCTCCTGATGAAAGCCAATCCAGGATGATGTACTATTCAGCAGTGAATGAGTCCAGGGCAGAGATGCATCAAGTTGAGTCAAATGCAATCAGTAGTTACCAATATCATGATTCCTACAAGCTGCACAATGCACAGAGCTTGAACGAAACAGCTGGCTGTGATTCCAAGAACGAATCAAACTATAGGTTTAACTGTGTAGGAAGTGAGACTGTTCTTGATACTAGACTCCATATTAAAGAGTCCAACTTCAACATTCAGTGTCACAATGAAACAGAGACTCCAATATCTGATATTCACTATCAGTACCCAGTGGTGGAAATGTACTGTGGGGATGCTCCAATGGGTATGAACTCTGCCGAGGCAAACATCAGGATGCAGGATCCCTTGGGGGAGTTCAGACTACACTGCAGTGATGAGGGCTATCACTCAACCACACAGTTTCCACACTTTCAGCACTGAGCACTCACCATGTACTGTGTATTTTATGTTCCTATCAGCAATGTTTGATTTAACTGATTGACAATTAAACACTGCCATAGTCTGGCCATATCTGCTCATCATTTTTTCTCCTCTATTTCCCCAGCAGCTCAGAAGGGTGCTAACATGAATAGAAGAGCCAACATGATTTAATCAGTGGAGAAGGGAGCAAATCAAACATTTAATTCTTACATGGAAGAAATTTAGTCCTATGATTTGCAAACTTCCTTGCCATTTCAGAGACTTGAGGGGCAATAGTTATTTCACATCCCTATAGTTTCAATAAATATAAACGCATTTAGTTCACAACACTTGTAATTTACACTGGCATAAATTCTGCAAACTTTTTCTTTGTCATTCTTGACATCGTAATGCTACATCAAGTACTGATGGCTTATTGTTCTCTGCCATTTGAAATTCGATTATCCAGAGAATATGCAATTTCACATTAAAATCATAAAATATTAAAAAATTGCAAAAAACAATGGATGTCTTATAACCCAGCAGATAACTGTAAGTGCATCATAGCCAAATCAAAGTGGAAAGTATACATAAATGGACTCTGTGTTTGGCCACTTTCATTTGTAAGTAAATGCACATGCATCTCATAAGTTCCCTTGAACCCACCTGCCACACTACTAAACTTCTGACTGTACTGTACAAAATATGAGTTTCTCACAGTAGTGAGTACTAAGATTATGGTCTTGTGTCTTCTGAAGCAGCACACTGCCTCCAGTTTCAGGGACTTCACACCTGCAGGTAGAGGGAGTACATTCCTCTGAAGAACTGGTACCTTTTTACCAAACTATACCTAGCACTACATCACAAAACACAATATTATGTTGACTGTACTCATACATGAATCAAAGTTTTACTGCAAGTCAGCTTCCTAGGAAGCTTAACCACAGGAGGAAGACAGCTGAAGAGCAAAATAAACCTACAGGCTAAGTGTACATCAGAATGATGTTTGAGCAGCTGATTTTATTTAGGAAAAAGAGAATAGCTCAATACAACACAGTTAATAGCATATTTTGCATTTACATTTATTTTTAACATGGAATTTCTCTGCGGAATCAAGTATCAAAAACATTTGGTCCTCCGAAGAATGATAATTTGCAACCTTAGAAAATATAAGTTCTCAGTAATATACTCTCTAAAATTACCATTTTCAATAGGAAAATAATTTTTTCTGCAAATAATCTTTCAGGGGAGTGACAGTACACCTAAACTTGAACCAAGCTACAAACCCAAGACATTACAATTTCAGAATCACAAAATAATGGAAAAACCAAATACAAATTTATACTACATGAAATTTATATATGTCTTTACAATATATTACCATACAAACTTTGCATATCACATTACAAGATTCACCCAACCAAAATGTGTTACTGGGTTTCCAATCTTGTTATTTTCCATTTTTTTAAGAATTCATCTAATAAAACTTGCATATTCTTCAAATATCTGTCCTGATTTTGAGGTTCTACACAGAATGGCATTCCCATCTCAGAATTGATATGGCTACCAGTGGTATGGTTCATATGAGAGAGCTAAAGAGTGCTGTATGACGTGACTATAGAAGATGGATGGTAGCTTGCCCCACTTTACTACCAGTTGTGTGAACTGCCTGTGCCATTGTCCCACTCTTTGCCACCATCCACCTTTAGAGTCAAAACAAAATGCAAAGGTCGCTGTGCAGTTTGTACCACATTTTTCTGAACTAATCACAAACTATCTACAAGATCTGTTTCCAATTTTGAAATGGGATACAGAGATACGTGCTGATCAATAACAGAGTTCTGAAGGAATACAGAACTGCACATACTCAGCGGAACTGTTCCAGCCATAGCAATATCAGTATTAACCAGGTAACTAATAATGTTCTGCCGAAGCAGCTGTCAATTACTAAGTTGCTGAGGAAATTCCATGTTACAAAGCCCTGAAAGGTTACTCCATCATCTGAGTCTTTCCTGAACCAGTTCATATCTTCGTGCCTGTTTCCTAGAGATATTACGCACAGATTATACTTGAAAATCAGAGCAATATTAAAAGAACTCACAGTTGATCTGATATTGTTTAGGGTTCTGAACTGCTCATACCATTACCGCCTTGTTAGCACTGATAAAACATCCCATGTTTTAAACTGGAACATACTAGTATTCATTATAATAGGCAGCATTTGCATAATTTCTCATCTCCACCCACACAACAGCAACATTATAAGAAATGTTGAGGTACAAATTTCAGCATCATGACAGCAATTATGCCAGGTTCTGGTAGAAAATTAATTTTTTGGGCACTGCCTCCTTTTATCTACAACTGTCTAAAAGTATTTACAAAAGTTTACACTCTGCCCTTTGACTCCCCTCTCTTGCTTTCTCTCTTGCTCTCCTCCATCATCTTCCTCTTCCTAGCTCCTTTTTGTACCATGGCAGCAGGTTCCAACTTTGACTCATCTAATGTGCCTCTTTATTTAACCTCACAGTGAACAACTGGGGTGATGCTGCCTTCAACAGTACCTCAACTATGGTGCTTACCATGACTGTGCCTAGTAATTCATGTCTTTGATATTTCTGTGGCTGCATCATTTAGAAGTTTATGGATTTTAGACAGTCACACTGCCTCCTCATTAAGGCTGGTCAACCCAAGCAACTTCCTGGTAAGGTGCTGGTCCCTCTAGGTGTATCACAATCATCTTTGATGTGAAGGGAGGTCCCTGTTGTGTCTATGGCTGCCTATGGTTCCCCAACACTATGTCAGTACATCACATCCCAGCTCCTGTAGGTTGTTTACTAAGGACACTGTCCAACCTCCATTCCCTGTACACTAGGCCCCATATCATGGTTACTCAGTTGCCCCCTCCATAGGGTGGTAATACAGAAACAGTGGCCTGTACCTTCTGACTGCCTCATTGCCATTTGGCAAAGAGTACATTTTTCTCATCTGGTCCTCTACAAGGTGCATCCCTGAAGCTGTGTTTCAGCCTCAGCGACCTTTGGTTATCCCGGCAGGTGCGTTCTCGCCAACACTGAACCAGCGTCCTTGCCCTGTACACTCCCTCTCAGTGGGCAACCTTTGAACATGGTCCCTCCTTCCATGCAGTCATGCCTCTTCCACATTACACTGGTCATCATATGTCGGAATAATAACGGTCATGCACCAGGAAGCCATAATGACACTTGTTCCTTGCCCAGTCATAGCACACGTCATCTGCACAGTGTTCAGCCAGCTCCACTCGCTCTCAGGTAGTGCTACAGTGGTGTCAGGCCTGGCAATCATCAAGGATGCCCTCGTGTCAATGGTCACAAGGCATGGGTTGCCATTTAGGCTGCTGTTGCTCATCACTGACACACTGAGTGTGAAATGAGGGGGTGGAGGTGGTCTCCTTCCTCATGTCATCGTTTACTCACTCAGGTCCTGATTTCCTCTCCAGCAGTCTCTCCCCAAATGACCAACAGCTCCACACGTCTAGCATACAGGTCATTCAGTTCTGTGGCACTTGGTCATTGGCAACTGTGTTCTGATTGGGGCTCCAGCCCTCATCACTCACTGCCTTGCTACTGGTTCAACTGGCACCTTTGTGGTCTTCAGCTTCAGAACCTGACTGAGAATCTCATTCAGTGTCCTGTCACTGCCAATGAGGACTTGCTGCTTCACTTCTTGGTCCTTTATCCTGTTGGCAAATACTTAGGATGTAATACTAGGGCAGGCCAACTGCTCAGTGGTGATGGCAAACTCTTGCAGACTTGCCACACAGCTGGGAGCTGGCCAGTCAGATGGTGGTCCATGAAACAGCCCTTGAGCACCTCCACAATGTTCTAGTATGCTGCTCCTGTAGAAATACCACACAGAATGCCTGTTGCCTGCCCTTGCATGATGGTGAGTATGTGTGTGACTTTCTACAAGGCTGTGCAAATTTTCTGCTCTACCACAGCATGGCCCCCATCAAACTCGGTGGCTTTACCCTAACTGCACTGGCTGTTGCATTCCTGCCAATGCCACACCCCCCACTTGAACTTCTACCAGTTGCATTTTGAATTCCTGCTGTGTGAAGCCCACCAGCATCACTGTTGCTTCTGTCTAGTTGCATTCCACGATTTACTGCCAAGTTCCTTGCGAAGGTTCTCCATCATCTCTTGAATGTCCCATCATATCCCTTGTATCTTGTCACAGAGTTCATGGAGACCCCGGGTCTGGGCAAACAAGACTGCACTTTTTGCATTCTGTCTTTCCTTGGCTGGCACTGTTTGCCTGTAGTTCTCCTTGGCCTGCATTTATGCTGCTTCATAGGCAGTCCAACATGACCATCAAAAGTTGTCATGACACTTCCATTTCCACTGCTAACATCCCACTTCTAACACCAGTGTCACCACGTGAAATTACTCCACTGTGGATTCTGGTAGCAAATGGATTTATTGGTCATTGTCTCCTCTTCTCTGTAAGTGTCTGAAGGTATTTACAAATGTTTGCAATCTGTCCTTTGATTCCCGCTTCTTGCTTTCTCTTCTCTTGTTCTCCTCCATCTTCTCAGTTTTCTTCTTGCACCCTCTTCCTAGTTCCTTGTCGCACTGTGATAGCAGACTAACTAGAAGGAGTCTTCAATTCAGACCTATGTGGCATGTTTCATTATGCAGCCTTGCAGCTGATCACCAGGGTGACAAAGTTCTCAGTAATGCCTCAACTACTGTGAGCATACAAGGTTGCTGGTAATTGGTGTTTACCATGATGTTTCTCAGCAATGGACATCTCTCTGATATTCGTGTGGTGTTAGCATTCCAGAGTTCATGGACTTTAGTCATCAAGGCACAACACAATTCAGTAGCTGCATGTAATGAAAAATATATCACAACATCAAAACCTTGATATTTTCTTACATTATATTAACTGTTATGTGGATGAAAATAAAAGATTTTCAGCAAATGGTATTTCCATTTTGTGTGTTCTGTACATTCTTTTCCACTTTCCAAAATTTCCCTGCTAAAGAGTGGTCACTACAGAGACATTTCAAAGGTCTATCACTACACTAAACTTAAAAATTATACAATTAATTGCACCACTATTGTTGTTACCTCAACAGCCTGTAGTGTTTGAATTGCTGATGATAGGAAGTGTTCATTTTAGAGATGTGCAATATCAATTACATAAACACATGTGTGCAACCGCGAGTGCACATGTATGCAAGCATGGGCGCGCGCACACACACACACACATCTAATAAGTGGAATGAATAAGACTTATGATCTTTCTGAACCCCCCAGAATTGACAGAAATGAAAAGCCATCATGAAACTGCACGTGTAGATTTTAAACTGGTACAAACCCCACACCAGCAACATGACAGTTACATACATGAATACATACAAATACATATAACATATATATATAATTTCATCTCACTCATGTCTACTTGAAACAATCATTTTAAAATTCAGTGATAGAGAAGTG